AGATCCAAGTTACAGGATCTCTCTCTCTCTCTCTCTCTCTCTCTCTCTCTCTCTCTCTCTCTCTCTCTCTCTCTGAACTAGGGAGAGGGCCTTGGCTGGGAGAGGCAGTTCAAGGACCTGGGTGCCACCTGCTGGCATGTCTCTTTCCATGCCCAGGGCCAGACTCAGGTCAGGAAAACTAAAAGGGAACCAGTTCCCCCACCCCAGCCTAACAAGGGATAAAAAGGCTGACTTCTTCATGGTGCTATGGAAGTTGTATAGAAGATCCCCATAGAACCTGTCAGATGAGTCTCCTGAACCAAGATGGACCCAGCCAGGGCAAAGAGCACCCCACTTGCAAGAAGCACTCTGGTTCTGCTTTGCTCTCCCACAAAAGCCAGTGGGGGAGATGGCGTGATTGGTTCCTTGGCCCTTAAAGGAGCTGGGTTTTTGTTGTTGTTGTATTGCTCTGTGTGGTGTTGTTTTTCAGACCTTTCCTTACAAGTACCACCTCTCGAGGACCCTAGATTCACATTCCAGAGAAGTCTGGGAAATGCTCCCCCATCACTGGGCACTGACAGTACAGAAGGTGTCTGACCAAGCTGAGGAGACCTGGGCATTTTTCAAGTAGTCATGTAGCTCTTGGTGACCCCTGAGAGCCACTGTATCCTAAACTCTAGAAAAACTAGAGATTTTTCTTGATGCCAGGGAAGAGGGGGCTAACATTTTCCCTCAAGAGAGGTAGCAAAAATAAATAAATCTCCCTGCCCCAGCCGATGCCATTGATAAGATGAGGGCCATGGTTCTCAGACCTGGCGGCTATACAGCAGAATCACCTGGGTTTGTTTTGTTTTTTTAATGTGTGTGTATAGATGGATGGATGAATGGACAGGTGGATGATGGGTGGATGGATGGATGGATGGATGCATGGATGGATGGATGGATGGATGGACAGGTAGATAGATGGTGGATGGATGGACAGACATGTAGATGATGGATGGATGGATGGAGAGACACAGACAGATGGTATGTATATAACACAAACACACACATAGGCACATGTACACACATGCTTGGCTTCTCCTAGTAGGGAGCCTCTGGAAAGCATGGAATGGGCCTAAACCTTCAGCAAGTCCCATAGATGCCCAGAAAGGCCTCCTTCAGGCTAGGAAACCCTTTGAAGGTCATGGACTGAGGAGTGGAGTATAGGACTATTGCCTCTGCTTATGTGAATGATCAGCTTTCGAAAGTCTCACCTGTAACACAGAATAAAATTCCTGATTTGCCTGAAGAATTCCCAGGGCAAAACTAAGAACAAGAACCACCCCACAAACCCAGACCCTTTCAGGGTGTCTCAGAGTGTCAGTGGACCAGAGTCGTCCTTGCTAATGAGCTCAGGGACCTCCTAGAGAAATGAGCCCCATATAGGAAAGGTTCATTTTGACAGCCACCAGAATGGCTTATGCCCACTACACCCAGCCCGGCAGACCACACCCAGAATCTGACCATCCTCATACGTGGGTCCATTTGGTCCACCTCTCTGAGTTACATGCCTTTCTTGACTTCCTGTAGTGCTTCTGTTTTTACCACACATGAGGGCATTTGGTTCTGCTCTTTATCTCCCTGAACCCTCGCAGTCCATAGCATATGGGAATAAAATGTCATCCTTGACTCTTTCTCATTCTGCCTCTTGAAAAACCTATCTATCCACCCTGTCCACCACCCCTGCCGGTACTTCAGGGGAGTCCCTTGGAGATTCAGAAACTCCTGACTCCAGCCTCCACCATTCCCTTCTACCAGTGTGGTTAGGCCATTACTGCTCACCAAGAACGAGCATGGAATCCAGAGGTAGATCACACAGCCTGGCCCTGAGGCACTCCGACAAGTAGAAGGGGTAGGCCCACTGATGATTCTGTGGGCGCAAGGATGCCGCCATTGTTAGCTTTGCCCAGGGTCCCATGGGGTCCCGTAGTGAGCTTCTAAGAAAGTTCTCTGTAGAGGATGCTGACACCAGCCCCGAGGAGTGGAGCTGGGGACCCATGCCAGAAAGTGATGGAAGACACGGAGAACGGGTGTGAGAAGGTGTCAGTCCATCCTTCAGCAGCTTCCCTAAGCGGCAGACCATGTTTCCAGGCACTTCCAGCAGGGAAGCCAGGCATAGAAACATGTCTAGTGGTGAGTTTGGGGGTCAGGTACAGGGCAGCGGGCTCAAACCCAGTCAGAATTATCCTGGGAAACCTCTGAAATTGCCAGGTCCTGAGTCTTTAGAAAGTCCCAAGATAATAATTTTTGTTTTTCTTGGCTTCGGAGTCCCACTTGGGCTCCCTTGCCCCAGACAATCAAGGACAGGGTTTATTTTAAAAGAGGAAGAGCTAGGAACAAATAACAGGATTTTTCTTTAGTGGTTTTTATGCCAAAAGAAACGTCCATTTAAATGAAAGATGCACGCCATGAGGGTCTGTGAGATAGCGATGGGTAGGGTCGGGGACGGAAGCGTGAGGGGAGCCAGCCCAGACAAAGTTGAGCCGAGCCCTGTTTTACATCTGTCACATCTGCCTGGCCTGGAGTGAGTGGCCTCACCAAAGTCAGATTCTGATTCAGCAGGTCTAGCTAGGTCTCACTAGTGAAGAGTATTTCTCCAGGTTTACTGTGAAGGAAGCTGATCCCAGGCATGTGGGACCACATCTGGTTTTTATGCAGATCCAACCCAGGGCTTCATGGGTGCTAGACAAACACTCTACCACTGAGCTCTATCTCTAGCTCTGGAAATGATGCTTGAGTGGGACCCCCTTTCTACCACTGAGCTCCATCTCTAGCTCTGGAAATGATGTTTGTGTGGGACCCCCTTTCTATCACTTGTGCTACTTCTAAACAGACCCTGTCTCTCTGACCTTCCCTCTAAATTCACCCAGCCAGGAGCCGGAGGCAGCTCTTTACTCACTCTGTCTTTGGCAATCTGTCCCCAATCCCAAAGTCTGTTCTTTACTCTCCAGTGGTTCACAACATGTCATCCCTGGCCCCACAGCACTTGGGCTGTGTGGTCACCATCCCACTAGAAATGCTAGTCCTTGCACATCAGTACATATCAAGTGGCTGTGGGAGGGGGGTGGCTGCCTACAGGGAACTAGGAATTGGGATGGCATTGTCTTCCTTCACAAAGACACTGCACATTAAACCTAGAAAAACAGCCAGGGATGGCGGCATACGTCTTTAATCCCAACACTCGGGAGGCAGAGGCAGGTGGATGTCTGTGAGTTCGAGACCAGCCTGGTCAATAGAGCTGATTCCAGGACAGCCAGGGCTACACAGAGAAACCCTGTCTCGAAAAACAAACAAACTAACAAAAAAGCCTGGAAACATACTCTTTATTCCAGAAAGAGGAACTTTCCAGTTCTTGGGACATGTAGTGCGTTTATCTCACTTGTTTCTCCATTTCTGTTGAAGACCAAGGGATAAAAATCCTCCCCTCTGTTGTTAGCAACGACAAAGCACAGCTGATACCTGACTTGTGGGGGGGGGGGGGGGGGGGGCGGGGGCGGTGGGTAGCGGGGTGCTCGCGCCTGCCCCCTAGAGGGCCCTGAACGCCTCTGCTCAGCACCATCTGCATGAGTGGAGGAATATTTTGGCCCAGGGTGCCCTGACCACCCCCCAAAAAACTTGAGGAGTCCTAAGTGGTGTATGCAAAGCGTCCTAGGCCTTAAATACTGAGCGCTAACTCACAGATGTTTCCAACATTACCACTGCTGAACCGTTCAAGTTTGCGAGGCAAATACATCCTTGGACACCTTATTAACCACTGCTGGCTGGACGTTGGGCTGTGGGTGTCCAGGCCTGCTGTTAGATAAATTCAGGGGTGTCGGGATGGACGTGGGAGAAGGACTGGAGGACGGAAGGCGTTGTGGGAGGTTCCTGGTAGCTGTGGCTGCCAGAAATGATGAGATCAGTCAGAGGGAGGGAAGAGCCTGGACCACTGAGGAGAGGGAGCTGAGGAATGAGGCATACTGGAAGATGGCCGAAGAGAGAGTTGATAGGCTAGGAGACCTCACAGGTTTATAATGAGAATGATTCAGGGCTGGTGCTTACAGTCTCTGCACCTATAAATACCGAAAGATGTTTTATGGGACAGTTCTGGAAAAATGGAAGTCAGTTGCCTCTGGGTCATCCAGCAGACCACTGGCCACAAGAACAGGGCCTGTAAAAGCAGAGGGAAAGCAATGGTTAATTGGCTTTAGAACATAAATCTGGTCAGGTTACTGTCTGTTTAAAATCTCCTAGTGACTTCTCATTGACTAAATAGAATTTCCCCGGGGGTAAACAAAACCCTTCCAAATCTGTCCCTGCTAATCTCATTGCATCATGCCTCAACACAGAAGCCTATGCCCCGGGCCTGCCTAGCAACTCAGAGCTCTTGAAATGAGCCGTGGCTTTGTTCTGGCCAGGTCTTGGGCTCCTGGGCCCCTTCACCCCATTCCTTGCCATGTCCAGAAAATCCCTACTCTTCCCATCTCTGCTCTGAGCATTCACAACTCTGCCAAGGCAAAGATACCCCCCTCTTTCTCTCTCCCTCCGTCTGTCTCTGTGTGTGTCTGTGTCTCTGTCTCTCTGTCTCTGTCTCTGTCTCTGTCTCTCTCTCTCTGTCTCTCTGTCTCTCTCTCTCTCTCTCTCTCTCACCCACACACACACACACACACACACACACACACACACACACACGCACGCACGTATTGTTTTGCCATCCTTGAACTTCACGGTGTTCATCAGCTGCTCATCTCACTGTGCTGAGATTTGCCTGTCTCCTGAAGGTAGAAACTTAGTTAACTTTGTATCACTCACCGGCTCCTAGAGCTTGCCTAGGTATATAGACACTAGTTAATGTGTCTGGGGAATGAACATAGACCTATTCTCTACAGGAATTGCAAGACTGGTCTGAAGAGAACGCTTCTTATGTCCCCAGGACCCAACCAGGCTGGCGAACAGCTCAAAGGCCTCATACTGACATCATCTCTTTTCTCTCTTGGCAGCTGGGGTATGGCCGTCAATGTGTACTCCACATCTGTGACCAGTGAGAACCTGAGTCGCCATGATATGCTTGCGTGGGTCAATGACTCCCTGCACCTCAACTATACAAAGATAGAACAGCTCTGTTCAGGTAGGCAGCTGCCACAGGGTAGCCCAAGGGAGAGGCTGGAAAGGCAGGAAAGACTCACGTGGCTTGCGATCAACAGGAAGAGGAAGGGCAGGAAGAGCATGTGATACTCCAGTGCTTAGAGTTGAAACCGGGAAACAGAGGCTAGAAAAGTGGAGAGCAGGTGGGGCATTCCTGGGTGACCAGAGCCAGGACAGACAGTGGAGCCACGAGTTAACAGCATGGGGTCCCATGGAGCCACTCTGGGTTCAGCTCTTTGTTCTCTGTTGCTGCAGCCCTTTGGGTACCAGTGTTCCCACCCAGACAGAGAGAGAGGCATCACCTGTCTGTGTCAGGTAGCCATAGGGCTAACCTACGTACTGAAGGGCTTGAAATGGCACTGGTACATGGTTTGGATCAATACGTGGTCCTTTGGGGGCTGGGCAGGCAGCTCAGTGGTACAGTGCCTGTTCCAAATTTGCACGGCCCTGGGTTCAATCCTTAGCACCACCAACAGGTAAATACGTAAATCGTAATCATGGATACTCTTATAAAGCCAAGGGGAACCTAACCATATCTAACGTGACCGTTGGACTGCACTGGCCCTCGCTGTAGAACACAGGGAGAGGGACCAGGCTTTGGGGGGCAGAGCAGCGGGGGCCCTGGTAGCTGAATGCCCTGCGTCAGCCATGCCTCCTCACAGGGGCAGCCTACTGCCAGTTCATGGATATGCTCTTCCCTGGGTGTGTGCACTTGAGGAAGGTCAAGTTCCAGGCCAAGCTAGAACACGAGTACATCCACAACTTCAAGGTGCTGCAAGCAGCGTTCAAGAAGATGGGTGTCGATAAAGTAGGTGTCTGGACCCCCGGGGTCCATGAGGAGCTGTGTATCCCTGGGGAAGAAGATGACCCACCAGCCAGGGTGACAAGGGCTACTCGGTTCATTCCACCACATGTCTTTCCACCCCTGACCTCCCAAAGGGGATGCTGTCCATCCAGCTCAAGGCACAGTGAATGCACTTAACCCCCACGGTCCCACTGGGTCAGCACTTCCTTCCCTTTCTCCTCTGTGGACCCGCCCCACTCTGGATGTTAAGGCTCTGTGTATTACCCCTGCCACGTCTCTCCAGAGGCCCCCCAACACATCAGCTGACGGTCCTGCCTGTATGGATCCTGAGCCTCCCACACAATGTCTCCTGTGCCTGTGGGAAAGGAATGTCCCGAGTTCCTCCCTGGTGGGGCCTGCCAGCCTGCTTGTCTACTCTGGTGCCAGGGGAGGGGGTGCAGATGGAGAAGGTAGACGTGGTTGTAGTCTAGGGGCTGGCTTTCCTGTACTCACAGCGGAAGGCAGTCCTACCCAGCAGGTGGTTAAAACGATCTGCTTCTGTGGTCTATTTCAGATCATTCCTGTAGAGAAATTAGTAAAAGGAAAATTCCAAGATAATTTTGAGTTTATTCAGTGGTTTAAGAAATTCTTTGACGCAAACTATGATGGAAAGGATTACAACCCTCTGCTGGCGCGGCAGGGCCAGGACGTAGCGCCACCTCCTAACCCAGGTGATCAGATCTTCAACAAATCCAAGAAACTCATTGGCACAGCAGGTAACATGCCCAAGCTGGTGGAGGGAGTTTGGGGGGCTGGGCCGGCAGGGCTACCCAGCCAGGAGTGGCCCCTGGGATACCGGCCCAGCCCCGCCAGCCTGGAGGAGACTGTTATCACGGAGTTCAGATGGCATCACCTGCTGCTTACCTAGATGGGGAGTCCTATTTTGGGGTGAGAGGGCTCCCAAAGTTGTTCTAAGAGGGGAGCCACCTGCACCAGGTATGGGAGCAGCTCACTGAGACCCAGGATGCTGTGTCTTAACATGAACTAGCTTGTTTGCCTCAAGCTGGATGGGTCCACTATCCAGAGCTGAGCTATCCAGATCACTACCCAGGCTGAGCCCCTGGAGCCAGGATCCAAGCCCCTCATGGATCCCTGCCCACTGGATACTCAAAAGCAAGAGTTTGCCAAGCTCGATCCTGCCTTTTATCTCTTCCAAAATCCCGTCGCCCAGAGATGCGTTTCTAGAAAGGATCCCTTGCTGGGTTGCTGGGAGCAGTGAGAAGCAATAAGGCCTGTGGGGACAGCAGGGCTGTGGCCAGAGAGGGGAGCAGCTGCCTCCCTCCGCATCTGACCCGTCATAGCAGAGCCACCTCCCCTTTGCGCTGCTGTCTGCCTGGGCCCGTCCCCACCCAGCCGCTTGCTTTGCACTAGAAGCTGTCTAGGGAGGCGCAAGTAGCCACAGCATGCAGGCTGTGCTGGGGAGGAGCCTGAGTCCTCCACCACGGCGCAGATACCAGTCCAGCCCAGCAGGGGGAAACAGAGCCCAGCCTGAGAGGGAGCTGGAGGGGTGGGGCGGAGTTTCACTGAGGGTGGCTTTGGCTTCTGCTAGGACAGACTGCATCAACTGCTCTCCTGGGGCTCATCTGTCCTGTCAGTACAGAAGGCCCTGAACCCTCCCAGCTCCACTTCATCAAATTCACCACCCCACCAGTGTCCTGCATCCCTCCCTCAGGCCAGCTTCCTTCAGGTCCCGGGACTGAGATGGCCTTTCCGTTAGCTTCCCGTGGCGCTGACGCTCCCAGGCTTGCCCAAGGGCTGTCCAGTTGCTGTAATGTCACATGTGGCCGAGGCTTGAGGCCTAGATGTAGATGCTCTTCGTGAGGGAGAGTGCCTGCCTGTTGCATGGTCTGCATTCCAGGCTCTCTTGTGCTGTGTCGCCTCTTCTGACTCTTGTCCTCTGGACAGTTCCACAGAGGACGTCCCCCACAGGCCCCAAGAACATGCAGACCTCTGGCCGACTCAGCAACGTGGCCCCACCCTGCATCCTTCGGAAGAATCCCCCATCAGCCCGAAATGGTGGTCATGAGGCTGATGCCCAGATTCTCGAGCTCAACCAGCAAGTGAGTGGGATGGGAAAGGGTCGTTGATCCTGGGGACAAGAGGGAGGCGGGCAGAAGCGTCAGAGGCAGGAACATCTGGCATAAACATTTCTTTCTGCCTAAGCAGCTGCTGGACTTGAAGCTGACGGTGGATGGGCTGGAGAAAGAGCGAGACTTCTATTTCAGCAAACTGCGTGACATCGAGCTGATCTGCCAGGAGCACGAAAGTGAAAACAGCCCCGTCATCTCCGGCATCATTGGCATTCTCTACGCCACTGAGGTGAGCCCCTCTTCACCTCCCTCCCACCGCTCTGCCAAGACCGGAGAGCAGGCTAGCCCTCCACACCTGAGGCCACTGGGCCCAGCCCTCTTTCTAGACCGTGTGTGGAGCCCGATCCCTCCTCAGCCTGGCCACCTGGCTCATTTCTCTCTCCTCCCCTCCAGGAGGGATTTGCACCCCCTGAGGACGACGAGATTGAAGAACACCAACCGGAAGACCAGGACGAGTACTGAAGGCAGCACAGCGCCAGCCCTGACTGACTGTGGCTTCCCCACCTCCTTCCCTCCACCCAGCCCACATTATAAGTCCTTTCCTGCCAGCCAGCCAGCCAGCCGGGTGCTTTGTGTCGGTGCCACAGCACTGGGGAGCCGGGCAAGCGGGTTCAGGAGGTGGGGGCTGGTGAGAGGACAAGGCCCTGTCGGGTCCCTCAAGTGGCACTGGCCCAGGGGACATCCGGGACCCCTGTCCACTCCCCACTCCTATTTATTTCCGTTGTCTCTGTGCTGTGTTGGCCAACACTCTCCGGGGCGCTGCTGTCACCCACAGGCCAGCCACCCGCCCCTGACAGCCCGCAGCTGTGTATTTGACAAAGTCACCGGTATATTTTTACTTACTGGATGATGTCCTTGCACTTTACCTGCTCCTGTCCAGGTCTGACAGCAGGGCTCGGGGCAGTCCCCTGGCTTGGCTCCCCTTCCCTATAGCCGAGACTGGGGCAGGACTCACCAGTTCTTATTTATTTTGTCTTTTGACTTCTCTCGCAGTAGTTGGAGGGAAGGCTGATGTGAGGAAGGGGTGGGGGGCTGGAGAGGCAGTGCTGTGAGTCCAGGGATCAGGGAGAGAGAAGGGAGCATGTGAGGGATAGAACTGACTTCCTGGCACTGGGCTCGCCCACCCCAGGCCCCTGCCTCTGCACCGAAGCCCAGCACTGCCCCTAGGCTTCCTGTCCCCTCCCTCCTGCAGCCTGGTTATACCACACAGACTCTGCCCGGCCCCCGTTTTCTGTCTGTCCCCCATTCTCCCGCCTCCCGACCTTTGCCCCTTGGGCACTAGCCTGCATATGTGTTCACTTTTATTTAAATAAATTTGTGTGGTAAAAGTCCTTGCCATGTTTCCCTCGACTAAGCCAGAGCCAGGGATCAGAGCACATCGCCTTCTGTCCTCTTCCCTCTCCTGAGGGGACAGCCATGCAGCGCAGCCTCACATTATCAGAAGCCACCACTGGCACTAGGCTCTGACCTAGACCCAACTCCCAAGGATGGTGACTGCTCTTAAGGCAGGTTTTATGTGACTTTTTCAGGGAGATATAAGATTGCCTCCCAAAATGGGATGGCACCAGCAGGCCTAAAAATGACTTGTTCAAGTTGATGAGTAACATGAGTTACTCATGTTTATTATTATTATTATTATTATTATTATTATTATTATTATTATTATCATATTATCTTGATAAGTAACATGAGTTTATTAGGGATTCCTTACAGGCCAGTGGATGACAAAAAATACCTCTCTACACACAACCCTACTGTAGGTGGAGCTTTTTGTCAGGACCTCCGGCTGCTCAAATAACCACACAGAGACTTATTATTAATTATAAATGCTTGGCCAATAGCTTAGGCTTGTTACTGACTAGCTCTTTCAACTTAATCCATATTTATTATCTATGCTCTACTACATGGTGGTAATTTTTTTTTAGCACAACATATCATCTCCTGTTTCCTTCGCATCTCTACCCTCCTTCTTCCCAGCGTTCCTTAAGTCTGGCTCTCCCACCTACCTTCTTTCTGCCTAGCTATTGGCCAGTTGGCTCTTTATTAAACCAATGAGAGCAAAACATCTTCACAGTATACAAAAGAATTATTCTATAACATTTCCCCCTTTTGTCTAATTAAAAAGGAAGGCTTTAACTTTAACACAGTAAAGTTATATACAACAAAAACAGTTATCAAATAAGAATTAGTTACAATATGCAGTCCACTTGTATTTGGCAAATTTAGAAAAAATATACTCTATTAGCTATCTTATCTTTGTGAATCTAAAGTTTTATACCTAATTTATTTTTTATCATAACTAAGAAATACTATAAGTCTAACTATTTAGTCTTTAACTCCATCAAAGACCTCAGAAGGATGTAATAGGCTAATACAGGGACATACGGCTGCCTGGACAGTCACCCAAAGTTCCTCTGTAACATTGAGGCCGTCTTTGGCCCACAGGCCCAGAATATCTGACAGACATTTCTGAGAAGCAGGGAATTTTGAAGGACTGTCCTGCCTTGTCTTGGCAAAGTTTGACAGTCGCTTTCTTTTGCATCCTGCTGGCCCAGTTTGGACAGTACACCAGCAGCAGTTGAGGCAAGGGCAGTTTCTTTGCCCAGTGGCTAGCTTTTGCCACAAAGAAAGTAAAGTCCATATGGAGTTTCTTTGGTGATCATCATCTTCTCTGAAGTAAATTGATGCTGCCAGGAGCAAATATGTCTTACTGTCAAGAAAAGCCTTATGTTAGTAAAACATTTTGTATGCCATATTCTATAGGTCTTTGAAGTGTTTAAAGATCACCTGTCTATCTAAATATATCTGTTTAACCTTGAAAACATACTTAATATGACTACAAGTTTGATCTTTATAGATGACTATTAATCTGTAATTCTTAATTATACATTGCATTTTTAAATGAGCTACATAATTACAATACCCCAAACAAGAGTAGAAACATACATACAGTATAACAAAAATGACTTTAAATTTGTACCAATAAACCAAAATCTATACCAATGTAATATATTTAAGATTGATAGTTGTATTTTGGATTAAAGTAGATTCATTAATCTACACTTTTATCTCATCATTTCTGTATCATATCCCCCTCCCCCCCCCCTTTTTTTTAGAAAGAGATGTTTGAAGGCTGGAGAGATGGCTCAGCAGTTAAGAGCACTGGCTGCTCTTTCAGAGGTCCTGAGTTCAATTCCTAGTACCCACATGGTGGCTCACAACCATCTATAGTGGGATCTGATGCCCTCTTCTGGCATAAAGTCAATAGAGCTCTCATATACATGAAATAAATAAATAAATCCTTTTTTTTTTTTTTTTTTGGTTTTTTTGAGACAGGGTTTCTCTGTGTAGCTTTGGCACTTTTCTTGGAACTCACTCTGTAGCCCAGGCTGGCCTCAAACTCACAGAGATCCACCTGCCTCTGCCTCCTGTGTGCTGGGATTAAAGGTGTGCGCTGCCACCACCTAGGTTAAATAAATCTATTTTAAAAAAAGAGAGAGATCTTCGAATTTAACTCCTTTGTTTAGCTTTTATCCTATGACCAATAACAACTCGTAACTAACCCCCTTTAAATGACGACAGACATCCATAACCCATTTTTTTTTTATTTTGGAATGTGGGCATTGTTTTCGCTAGACTGCTTCCTATTGTTTGGGGGGTACTGGCATCTTTGGGGGAATCTTGAGAAAATCAGGATAATGATTAAGTCTTGGCTAGGTAGTCTGTGAGGCTGAAGCATCTTAGCCAGGAGCCTTAAAGTTGTTCTGGATGCAGAACTCTGAAGAAACTGCAACAGAGGCACTCTGAGATGCTGGATCACCTGGGTCATTCATTTTTATTGGTGCCTAGTCCCCTTCTCTGAAAATACATAAACTTTCAAAGGTTATATATATAATATATATATATATATATATCATCTGTATTAATACATGTATAGACTGTGCAATATATATGTTAGCCAAAGATGACTTTTTGTTTTATGTTTGAGTAGGCAAATATACATTATGTGTCTTGTAGTTTTTCTAGGTTTATTTCTTTATGTCTATAGCCAGGATTTTCAGGGGGTCTTCTTCAATCAAACTTGATCTTCTCTTTTTTTTTTTTTTTTGTTTATTTATTTATTTATTTTGTTTGTTTGTTTTTTGTTTTTCGAGACAGAGTTTCCTGTGTAGCTTTGCACCTTTCCTGGAACTCACTCTGTAGCCCAAGCTGGCCTCGAACTCACAGAGATCCACCTGGCTCTGCCTCTTGAGCCTTTCATTTTCTATGGGAACAAACGCATAACCTCTTCCCCAAAGCTTCATCTTTTGACTTCCATTTTGAAGTCAAGACATTTTAAAAATACTTAGGTTGGTTTACTCCAGCAGCCTTCACAATCCAATGTCTCTCAGCTGTTGTTTGTTCATCAGCAATCAAAAACTTCAAAACAACACAATAACATATAGGATCCAGACTCCCTGCGTATTTTCATCTTTCCATAGCTTTTTTCCCCTTTATATCACTTTTTCTTTAAACACTTTTTTTTAATTTTTTCTATGACTCTCTATACTCTTTTTCTTTTTTCTCCCAAGCCTATGTACATTTTTAAACACACTGTAACCCATTTAGAGGATTTTTTTTTTCTGTCTGGATCTGTACTTACTGCATGTCTGTAACCTTTTCTGTCTGCATGAGCAAAACCTTACATCACTGCCTTGCTTAGCTCATGGCATGCTGGTGGCTGGCTTCTCCCACCTCATGGCTGGCAGGAGCCATTTTTAACACCCCAGCTCTGGGAAGTTTTTGGTTCTATGCTGCTGCGGTAGACATTTTAACCTAGTCTCATGCCATCAAATAGCTTCTCACCCACTGCTCATAAACCTCATACGAGTGCTCAGGAGCAGGGTCTCTTAAAAGAGCCATGCCTTTGTTTGCCACTAGCACACCAAGCCTACCTGAGAGTAGGCTGTCACCAGGAAGCCACGTTTGACTTTGTGTTCTGAACTTTTTTTAAAAAGATTTCTCAGGCCTTATGTGGATGTAGGTGCCAGGTGTTGGGTGCCATTTGTAGGCAGAGTTTTTTGTTGGGACCACTGGCTCCCCAAAATAACCACAGAGAGACTTATTAATTGTAAATGCTCAGCTGATAGCTTAGGCTTATTACTAACTAGCTCTTTCAACTTAAATTAACCCATATGTCTTATCTACATTCTACCATATGGCAGTACGTTTTCCAGCATGGCATGTTCATCTCTTGTTTCCTCTGCATCTGCTGGCACCTCTATCCTCCTCCTTCCCAGTGTTCTCTTAGTCTGGCTGTCTCCCACCTAACTTCTTTCTGCCTAGCTATTGGCCAGTTGGCTCTTTATTAAACCAATGAGAGCAAAACATCTTCACAGTGTACAAAAATATTATTCCACAGCACCTCACCAAGTAGTTTTATACGGTTCTTGTGTCTAGAGCAGAACTGATGGGGGCTCAGAGCACTACTTAGTGTTGAAGCACCAGAGGTGACTAACACTCGATAGCATAAGGCACAGACAAAACTAGACAATGAGAAAATTGTGTTTACATGTACTCAATCCTTGTCCTTGCCAGGAACTGAGCCAGTTCCAGCAAACACCATCCGGTTGAAGTAATGGATGAAGGATGGCTTGTCTTGCTGCAGTCTGGCACATAGACCCCCCCAAATGGTAGCTGGCTACAAGGCAGTTAACTCCAGTGAGGAATTGGAAAGATCTCGCCACAACAGGGGACCCTCAGGGGGGAGGAGGAAGTCTGGAGCTGTGGCTGTAAGATGAGCAGCCCAGAAAGTGGCTGTGGGGTGATGAGGGGATACTTGGCCAAGGAAGGTTTTGTTCTACTCTCCTATAGGCTGGACTCCATGATAGCCCTGAACTGCTTGTCAGACTGCTCACACCTCACAGCAGCCTTGTCACAAACAAGCCTGGAGCCCAGAGGACAGCAGTGTCTACATGGTTCCTCTTTTTCTTTATTTGTGTGTGTGTGTGTGTGTGTATGTGTGTGTGTGGTGTGTGTGTATGTGTGTGTGTG